TGAATCCGGATTCACTCCACTGAATCCGGATTCACTCCACTGAATCCGGATTCACTCCACTGAATCCGGATTCACTCCACTGAATCCGGATTCACTCCACTGAATCCGGATTCACTCCACTGAATCCGGATTCACTCCAGTGAATCCGGATTCACTCCAGTGAATCTGGATTATATTGAAGAATAAGAAACTTATGGTAAAAAACAAGCTATAAAATTTTAAACAAAAAGAATAAGAAACTTATGGTAAAAAACAAGCTATAAAATTTTAAACAAAAAGAATAAGAAACTTATGGGAAACTTATGGTAAAAAACAAGCTATAAAATTTTAAACCATGAAAAGATTTCACCTTTTACAGCAAAAAAGTACGCTTTTTATGGTAAAAAACAAACAACTCACATTCTGAATCTCGATTCACTGCAGTGAATCGAGATTCACTGCAGTGAATCGAGATTCACTGTGAATCTAGATTCACTTATGCGTGTCTTCGTTTTTCAACTGGTTTCTTAAAAAAACAAAAAACTTTTCAGACTAAAAGGTGAACTATTTCACCTTTTACAAGATGTTGAAGACAGAGAGAGAGTTGAGCGAACCTTGGAGGGTTGACGGAGCGGATCTACGGGTTCGACGTTGGCGTTGTCGGAGGTGGATGATGGCGAGGTGGCAGGGGGTGGAGGAGCTCGGATCTGGGTTGTTTGATGGTGAGAGAGAGGAAGAGAGAGAGGGTTGGTTCAAGCTTTTGGGAAATGGAGGAGAGAGAGAGGAGAACGTGAGAGGGTTGGTTTTTAGTGGTTCAAGCTTTTGGAAAATGAAGTAGCATTAATTACCTCTCTTTAATGGGCTGTTTATTTTACCTTATTACCCTTATGCAGCTTTAATCTCAACCATTGGATGAATCTAGATCCAATGGAGAGGAGAGGTTTTTAGTTTTTAGGATAGTGAGGTTTGTATTTGAACCTCTCCCTATATATATATATATATATATATATATCTCCGCCACTGGGCATAATGCTTATCAGTTCAAATGTTACACTCGGAGCTTCGCTTTAACTTTCTTCAAGTTGGAACAGGAAACAAAAAAAATACTTTCTTCTATGCAGGCAAATCTTATTGATAAGAGCAATCACGTCCTCTATCAAATCAGCAGATCTCACTAATACTACAGCCTTGTGGGAATTGCATAAACTATAATCCTACCAACTGTTCCCTCAAAAATCCCCTAAATCAAGGGCAAAACATCACCATACAGATATGAATCATAAAAAGGCTCTACATGTAATTATACCCATTGCTCTCACTTACTGTCGGTAAAATCTGCATCGATAACGTCCCCATCTTCGGGCCCCTTAGTCGCCGAAGGCCCAGATGAAGCATCAGCACCAGGCGCGGGCCCACCACCAGAAGTGGCACTGGGCCCACCAGCACCAGGCTGATTGTACAAAGACTGACCAAGTTGCATTACTTCCTGGTTCAGTGCAGCCATGGCATCCTTCATTCCTTGTGTAGATCCCCCAGCTATTGCTTCTTTGAGCTCGCCAAGCTTTGACTCTACCTTCTGCTTGACCTCAGCAGGGACTTTTTCGCCCAGATCCTTTAGTTGCTTCTCGGTTTGGTAGACGACTGAATCTGCTTGGTTCTTGGTGTCTATCGCCTCCCTTTTCTCTTTGTCCTCTTTCGCGAATTTCTCTGCTTCGCTAACCATTCTCTCTACCTGTATATTCCGAAATTAGGCAAACGAGTTTTTTGTCCTCCAGCCGAAGCTTTTTAAAGCTAAAAAAGCGATTTGATCCGAGAGGTAGATGGTCAGGTTATATTTAAAGGTTTTTTAATAATATTACTCCCTTAAATGTTTTAATATGTTGATATTAGTCAAACCATTGAAACAGTTATTAGATCCCCCAATTCTTATATCTTGCCACTGCCACCATTGATATGAAACAAGCTACAAGATTGGCGGACCTAATACTTTCAATGAATTGAGGAGCTAATTTCAAAATATTAAAGCATTAAGAGACTAATATAATAAAGAAAACTTTTATTTAAAGACAAATCCAATACCACCGTATTAGATTATATCAGAATAATTTATACATTAGAAAAAAAAATTTGTCCCATGTTGAAAGTTTATATAATTATATTCTATTTGCTTTGCTGTAAATAACGATATAGACGGAATTTAAAACACTATTAAAAATACTTTCGCTGAATTCAGAAATTAATTACCTCATCACTGGGCAAGGTACTGGCCCCTGTAATCGTGATATCTTGCTTCTTCCCCGTGCCCTTATCCGAAGCGGAGACCGAAAGAATACCATTGGCATCAATATTAAACTTGACTTCAATCTGTGGAACTCCTCGTGGGGCCGGAGGAATTCCATCGAGGCGGAAACTTCCAAGGGATTTGTTGTCCCTCACAAATTCCCTTTCGCCCTGAAGAACGTTAATCTCGACACTTGTTTGTCCATCAGCTGCTGTTGAGAAGACCTCTGATTTAGATGTAGGCAAAGTAGTGTTTCTTGGAATGATCTTTGTCATTACGCCGCCCAAAGTTTCCAATCCAAGAGAGAGTGGGATCACGTCAAGAAGAACAATGTTACTGACGTCTCCACTCAAAACACCAGCCTGAATTTAAAATAGATACACAAGAAATTTATATAAATCATGAAGCTAAGCAATTCTCAGTTTAGTTGAAAACAGATATCCTCCATTGTTTATTTTTTTTACATGACGAGGCAAACAGTAACACATACTAATTGCTGAAGATATTAACATACACCATGTATTTGCATGCATTGAGATGTATAAGATATATTGCTACGATAGTTGCTAGCACACAAAATATTAAATGAAAATTTGTTTGTTAAGGGCAATCATCTATATTATAATTACAAGCAGAAACCACCGAACACCATTTATCATCATAAATCTATTTCACGAGATTCATTGAGTGAAAAACTGTCCTGACGCATGTTGCATCCTATATCACCACTACAGTGAGTAATGAAATTACCATGCACCATTTTAACATTATACATCTATTTCAGCAGATTCATCGAGTATCCCCTACTATGGGGAATTTGAAATATCATATACACAAGTTCAACATCCTGCCTCTATTTAAGAACATGGTTTGAGGTTACCGTTGTTTCCTTTAAAGAGTATAAAAATTGTTCTCTTGCAATTTTCGTCGTATCCCCTACTATAGTGAGTTTTGAACTATCAAATGGGACAGAGACTCACCTGCACAGCAGCACCAAGGGCAACCACCTCGTCAGGGTTCACTGTAACATTAGGGTCCTTTCCGGTCATCTTTTTCACGACTTCCTGAACTGCTGGAATACGTGTTGATCCACCAACAAGGATTACCTCATCTAAATCTTTAAGTGAAAGTTTTGCATCCTTCAAAGCATTATCAACAGGCCTTCTAAGCCTAAAATCACAAAACACGAACATAAGAACTGAATGCAAATAGGCAGAAACATGTTGGATACTGCTCATCAAGATGACAATGGACAAAATGCTACCATTCATATGCAACTTAAAGATTCTATAGTTGCAAATTAACTAGAAAAAGTACTTGTATGAACCAAATGAAGACTTTAATTCAACTAAAAATATAGACATCAACATTGTCTTCGAGAAAAGGAAAAACACGTTGCAAGCGATCTGGTATCACAACAAGCAACAGTCCGACATTGTCCGTAAAATTACTGACAGATTCCATTGGAACCCTACGCAATTAGTTTGGATGTGATCCACTCAACAAAATTTTGATTAGCTTCAAAGGTTACATTTTTAGAAAAGATCAGAAAAGTTTTGCAACATTTCACATGGACTTACTAATCAACAAACACGATTGAGAGTTTACCTATCAAGAAGATCTGAGCATAATTCCTCGAATTTGGCCCTTGTGATAGTTGTTTCAATGTGCTTGGGTCCATCAGCAGTTGCAGTAATAAATGGTAAGCTAGAAAAGGAGTAGGGAAAATGTCTCAGTGCAAAGGCAAAAAAAATGAACAGCTGATAAATACAGATAGAAAACCCACTAAATAGAGAACCTACCTAATGTTTGTCTGTGTCAAAGATGACAATTCCATCTTGGCCTTCTCTGCTGTCTCAGTGAGTCTCTGAAGGGCTTGCTTATCTTTCAAGAGATCAATGCCCTCATTTCTCTTGAAGTCTGCAGCCAGCCAATCAACAATTCTCTGCCAAAAGTTGAAGATAAATAAGAATATTCGGTACGGTGTTTAATCTAAATATTTGTTGACCACATCTAGAGCAGATCCTTTTATGGATATGCAAGTTGATTGGCTGACCAACATATTTTCATTCTTAAAGCTGGCAAACAAGAACTTATGCATGTGCATGATAATGAAAGAAGGTACACACGACACAGAAGATGTTAACATCAAAAAAGTCTGCAAAAGTCAAAAGGAAAATTTTCTGTTCTTCTGTAAGAGTATTTTAGATTGATCATATCTCCATTACCAGTATAAGGGCACATATTAATTTCGATATAACTAAACACAGTGTACATGAAAATTCATAAACAGATCTAACCTTTTAAGTTCGAGTTTTCAACCATAAAATGCAATCAATCATCAAAAAAACCTCTCAAAGGTCGAATAATACTTTAATAATGCCTTGCAAGAAAGAAGCAAAAAGCGGTACTTCGGCATAAATCAATATGTCGGGAACATTTAATAGCCATGTTAAATATTTAGATATACCCAACATCATTTTGTTGCAACAATACTCACTATGATATGCCCAAAGGCAGTTTCAGATTTTCAGTGTAACACTGTCCAAAAAGAAAATGTCGTGTTTCAAGTTTCTGTGCAGAATGGACAAATAGTTTCTGACAAAAACAGTTTAGGAAAAAAAAGAACCTAATATATGTAACGTAATCCTTATAGTTTCTTTGCAGAGATGTGCATTAGAAATCATAAATTGACAGACATTTTTTGACAAGTTAGACTTGCATAATTTTTGACTAGCATAACCTCTTAGGCACGTTAACATGCAGGCATGTCAGCACTGGCACACAGACCAAAAAAAATCAGACAAATGCTTCTATGTCTAGACTAATGCAAAAACATGAGCCATTATAATCTATATATCTAAATTATCATGTACGTTAAATTGGTACTTTATCAGAGATTTAACCAACCTTGTCAAAATCATCACCACCAAGATGAGTATCCCCAGATGTAGAGAGCACCTCAAAGACACCATCTCCAACTTCAAGAACTGCAAAGATTATAATTTAATCAATTTCTGTATACAGATCACATGTGAAGTACTACCAACAAGCTCTACTAATAACCTACTCAAGATTAATGAAACATGCAACAGAACTACAATGATTGTGACATAGTCAGAAAAAAAATCCTCGTATATGTAATGTAATCTGTATAGTTTTAATTTAATTTTAAATTAATTAACTAAAAATCAAATAAGATACTGCTTGATTTTAATAAGCCATTTAATAGATCAACACACATTTGGAGATTATTTGCAAATTATTGGTTTTCAGAGGACACTGAATGTAAACTAATTATTCAACGCATACATTAAAGATGTCATATAAAATAATACCTGAAACATCAAATGTGCCACCCCCCAAGTCAAATACAAGAATGGTTTCATTGCTCTTCTTTTCAAACCCATAAGCCAAAGATGCAGCAGTAGGTTCATTAATAATGCGGAGGACTTCTAAACCGGCAATGCGTCCAGCATCCTTTGTTGCTGTCCTCTGGGAGTCATTGAAGTATGCAGGAACTGTAACCACTGCTTTTGTAACCTTGTCATTTAAAAATTTAGATGCATCATCCACAAGCTTCCTCAAAACCTAAGAAAAAAAAATGTAGACAACAAAGAATCAGTCATCAGACATGTTGTCCAGATCAATTGACATAATATACTTAAACCAATAAAAAATGTAATTGTAGAAAATTGACGTGACAAAAAAGAATAGACCTCCTCGGCTAATCCTCGATATATGAAGCTATAAATGATTTCACACTGTTGAGACCGTTTTGTTTTAACATTAACATACATGCTCGCTAAAAGCCATATTTTGTGCAATAGACTATAATGGATAGGTACAAAGATAGACCCTTAATTTTCCAGATGATCCATATTGAAGCGGCAAAAACATACAAGGGCGACATTTTTTCATCAAATTTTTTACATAAATATGTTAATGGTTGTAGAATGAAAATTGGGTATTTTCAACAAGGGCAACCTCATCTCACTAACCGTCAACCAATAGCTTCTTGAAAAACTAAAATAGCACTTTCAGTTCGCTAGTTTCTCCAAAACTTTGGTATAAAGCTTCTCTTGTTGTAATTCCGATACGCTGGTTTATAGAAAATATAATCTAGCAGGTAAAAGAATACCTATTTCAACCTAAGAAGACTATTTGCATTTGCATCTAATAACCAAATGCATATTCCAAATATCATTCTCAAACATAAAATGCCGATTATTCTTAAAACCCACATTCATACACTTGAAACATCAGCAAAATATTACCAATCAGATGTAACCTGATAACATGCTATAAAATCACAGATGCAATTTGGGTTTGAGAATGACAACAAGAATCACACCAAAGGGATAGAAATCAACCTGCGCCGAGATCTCCTCCGCCGCAAACTGCTTCCCGATGGCCGGGCACTCCAGCTTCACATTCCCATTATCATCCTTCACAACCCTATAACTCACCTGCTTCGACTCATCGTCAACCTCCACCATCTTCCTCCCAATAAACCTCTTCACCGAGAAAAAAGTATTCTCCGGGTTCACCACCGCCTGCCTCTTCGCAAGCCTGAGGCCGGATTTGGGGAAGCGAGAGGGGTTGAGGGGGGAGAAGAAGAGGGATTTGGATGAGGAGAAGGGGGTTTTGGAGGAGGAGGAGAGGGGGGAGAAGGAGGTGAGGAGGTGGAATTGGGCGGTGGATGAGGACGCCATTGCTAGGGTTTTGAGGGGGGGGTTTCGGGGGTAAAACCCTAACCCTAGAAATTTGGGGGAAGTTGAGGAGCGAAGGAGAAAGGGATAAGGGAGTAAAAGAGGAGGAAGAGGGGGGAGCTGTTTTAATAGGGAAGAGGAAATGGGGATTTTAGCAGATACAACCTTTGGTTTTCGAAAATTACTAAAGTTAAAAAACTACCATTTTCATATCAAACTGTATATCTGTTCTCTTTATGCGTAAATACACCAAATAATAAAACTATGGTTCATGACATTGAAGAAAAGATTAAAAGAGATTTGTAAATGCTGGGTAGAAAAGCAAATTTCAAACTCAATATTACTGGGGTTTTAATTTTAAGTTTTCAGCCCATTTTTATCGAATTTAGCCCTAGAATATAAATCCATGTATTATTTATGGAACAGATCTATGTAAATATGGGTCAATAAAATTAAGTCTCGAATTTCATATCTGCTGCCAAACAAAATAAATATTTAATATCATAATCTAATTTATACTTTTGAAAGACGAAAAAGTGCCACTAATTTGAAGCAAAATATGATGAGGCAAAGGCCGATGAGTTATTTACCTTTTATGAGGGTCTCCACTCTTTAGACGAAAGCTAATAAAATGAATGCAAAACACTTCAAATCTATGAAGTTATAGGAAGATGTAAACATTGTAAATATGCAAATTGTATATATGCAATCCAACAACCTCTCACCTAACATCAATTGATGGAGCCAGTCAACTCAAAAAGTGCTAGGTAAGCTTCCTTTCTTCCAGCAAGAAAGTAATAAACACAATTTCCTCTTCTTTCTTTTCTTTCATTTTTTTTTTATAAAAAAATCTTTTTAGTCTCTCCATTGAATGTTACATATAAACAACAGTCTACAAGCTTCAGCTAACGTAGAATGCAATGAAAGCTGAAGCCCCCTGCGGCTCGTACAATGTATATGAACTATTTTCCAAGCAATATAGAAAGTTTGCCTGCCTCCGTTTAGTCCATAATTAAGGCAAGCTGATTCAACAACTTCAGTCTAACTTGAAGCCGCCGGATTTGGATCCTCTCCGCTACAAAAAAGTAGTGGAGAAACCATTACTTTTGATCTCAATCGTTGATTATTTAGTAGGCGGTTATGATACAATCTAAATCTAACACTTACTATACTCCCGTGTAATTGTACTCATTCCTAATTTGCACTAAAAGAAAAAAAAAATCACAACCATTAACTAAATAATCAATGACTGCGATTATGTAGTGATCCATCCACTATTTTTTTGTAGTGGAGAGGATCCGAATCCGAAGCCGCCAGCTGCAGGATCAAACGCGTCGAACCCTCAAAATCATCCATCACTTTTAATTTTCCCTCTCTCTGGATAAAGATGTTAAAAGGAGCTGAACACGCTCTCAAACAATTTCTCCCTCCTCAGCATCATGTACATGAACTAATGATATTTCAAGAATAGGTTGTTTTCGTTGATCTCCGCTGTTTTCTCCGTCTGCAAGATTCACAACTTGTCCATTGTCAAATTCAATGAGATATATAAACAGACAGGATTAAATTTCGCAAAACCATCCAAATAATTTGCGGTGTTTCCCATGAACACCCCAATGTTTATTTTTCCTGTTAGACACCAAAGGCTTTTCCCACATAACCCCAAAGCCATGAAAATGCCCATCAGGCAAAAAAGAAAATCCATTATTGTTAATATTTTTTACTTGCAAAATGAACTCTCACAATCTCTTAAAATTTATTAAACAGAATGAATTGATTTTTTATTTTTAGTTTTTTTATTCCGAGGGCTTGTCAGGGGGGTCTTGTGAAATTTAACTGAACTGACACTAGTGAAAGGTATATATACTTGCTTGTAGCAGGGCTTGACGAGCTGCTTCCCTTTTTCTCTTAGCGTCAGCTGCAGCTTTTGCTTCGGCTTTCCTCAAGCATCCCCTAAAGCTTTGGCTTCTGCTTGCAGCCGAGCTATCTGCATAGAATCGCGACGAAAAGGGACCGTGCAAAGCAAAAAATTCATATTGTCTCATACCCTCTCGTTGTTGCCTTTCGAGTTCCTCTCTCCGACGCTGTAATATTTCAGGGTCTTTCTTTTCGCCCTGAACTCAGAGAAGTTTTTCTCAAGTTCCAC